AGTGGTTATGGTGCCAGTAGTGCCGGGACCCCCTCCCAGAGTAAGTAGTCAAACCATTTAAGAACAGTTTGACAACTTACCTGAGGTCTGCTTGGAAATGGGGCTGTAGTAGGGCATAGGAGCAGGGGTGCAGTGTGTGTGTGTTTGTGTAAGAAGGACTGTGTGAGCAGTGTGTGTGTGTGAAAGTTGCAGTGTGTACGTGAGGACGGCAGTGTGTGTTAGGGGGGCAATGTGTGTGTGTGTTGCAGTGTGAGTGGGGGGCAATGTGTGTATGGGGGGAAGTTTGTGTGTGGGGGGCCAATGTGTGTGTAGGGTGTGTGTGTGTATTGGGGGCAGTGTATGTGGGCAATGTGTGTGTATGGGGTAAGTGTATGTGTGTGTATGGGGGCAGTGTATGTGTGTGGGAGCAGTAGTGTATGTGTATGGTGGGCAATATGTGTATGGTGGGCAATGTGTGTATGGGGGCAGTGTATGTATGTGGGGCAATGTGTGTGTATGGGGGCAGTGTATGTATGTGGGGGCAGTGTATGTATGTGGGCAGTGGCGTACACATGACCCATGGGGCCCCGGTGCGAAAATTGATCCGTGGGCCCCCCCCCCCCGCGCGGGCCAGGCCGCAACACATGGCGGTGGGCACCTGGTCGCAGGGGTTACAGGGCTGCGACCCCTGCGGCCGCGGTATGTACGCCAGTGCATGCAGATGCACACACACTTAAAGGACCACTCTAGGCACCCAGACCACTTCAGCTTAATGAAGTGGTCTGGGTGCCAGGTCCAACTAGGGTTAACCCATTTTTTCATAAACATAGCAGTTTCAGAGAAACTGCTGTGTTTATGAATGGGTTAAGCTTTCCCCTATTTCCTCTAGTGGCTGTCCCATTGACAGCCGCTAGAGGCGCTTGCGTGCTTCTCACTGTGATTTTCACAGTGAGAGCACGCCAGCGTCCATAGGAAAGCATTATGAATGCTTTCCTGTGTGACCGGCTGAATGCGCGCACAGCTCTTGCCGCGCGTGTGCATACAGCCGACGGGGAGGAGAAGAGGAGGAGAGCTCTCTGCCCAGCGGTGGAAAAAGGTAAGTTTTACCCCTTTCCAGAGCCGGGCGGGAGGGGGTCCCTGAGGGTGGGGGCACCCTCAGGGCACTATAGTGCCAGGAAAATGAGTATGTTTTCCTGGCACTATAGTGGTCCTTTAAAGGACCACTACAGACACCCAGATCACATCAGCTCAATGAAGTTGTCTGGGTGTCAGGTCCCTCTAGTTTTAACCCTGCAGCTGAAAACACAGCAGTTTCAGAGAAACTGCTATGTTTCACTGAGGGTTAATCCAGCCTCTAGTGGCTGTCTCACGGACAGCCGCTAGAGGAGCACACTGAACGTCCATAGGAGAGCATTGAGTAATGCTTTCCTATGGGCGGTTTGAATGCGTGCGCGGTCGCATTCGGAGCTGAGAGGCTGAGGGATCCTCAGCGCCAAGGGAGTCCGGCGCTGGAGAAAGGTAAGTGCTGAAGACACACACACTCTCACTTACAGATGCATACACACTAGCTAACAGACACACATTTACTGACAGAGATACAGTCAGCGACAGACATACATACACACTCACTTACAAAACATACACTCTCATTGACAAACACACACTCACTAACAGACATCAAACAGACTCACTAACACACACACACTCAGTAAGACACACACAGTAACACACTCACTGACACTCACTAGCAGACACACACACTAACACTCACTAGCAGACACACTCTAACACTCACCTCACTCTAACCTCCTCTACTTACTCCACACACACTAACACTCACACACACTAACACCCACACACACTAACACTCACACACACTAACACCCACACACACTAACACCCACATACACTAACACCCACACACACTAACACTCACTAGCAGACACACATACTAACACTCACACACACTAACACTCACACACACTAACACTCACACACACTAACACTCACACACACTAACACTCACACACACTAACACTCACACACACCAACACTCACTAACAGACACACACACTAACACTCACACACACTAACACTCACACACACTAACACTCACTCTAACACTCACTCTAACACTCACTCATGATTTTTTTTTTTAATATAATCCCCCCAGCCTCCTTACTTTTTGGAGTGCTGGGATTCCCTGGGGTCCAGTGGTGCTGCTGGGCGGGTGGCCGGTCGGGCAGGCAGGCGGGCGCGCGAGGGAGCACTCACTGCTTCCTCTTCAGCTCCCTCGCGCGCCGCGTAGGGATGCCGGCGCCGGAAGATGACGTCATCTTCCGGCTCCGGTATCAGTGCGGTGCGCGAGGGAGCTGAAGAGGAAGCACTGAGTGCTCCCTCGCGCGCCCGCCTGCCGGACCGGCCACCCGCCTGCCTGGGGTCAGCAGGGCCAGCCTCAGGGGGGCCCTGGGGTGGCCGGCTCCTGGGCCCCCCAGGGGAAGAGGCTGGCCCTGGGCGTACATACCGGGTCGCAGGGGCGGCCGGGCCCCCTGGTGGGCCGGGCCCGGTCGCAGTCGCGACCCCTGCGACCCTGGTATGTACGCCAGTGATTCTTGATTCCACCTTCCGTCCCACATAAAGACTAAACATTTCTAATGGAAGAGTGATATTCTAAGCACCATAACCACTAAATTGTGATGGAGTGGTTAGGGTGCCAGGTGTCATTTGGTTCCACCTCACGGTAAGTTATTAAACGAACAGTTTCACTTACCAGGCTATGTTTGGCGCCCACGTTCCTTCCAGTCTGAGCCGTTATATTAAAGAAGCTCATAGTTTTCGGCTGACACATGCAAACAATGAATAATGTCCGAAGTGCGAATTTAGTGCAGAAAAACCGCAGGCCCTCTACAGAGCAAGGTAAGTATCAAACCATTTGTCACAATTTGGCAGCTATCTGTAGAATGGCACCATAACCACTACACCATGCTGTAGTGTTGATC